CATTGACTGTATGAACTGTAAGTCAACCTGGCTAGAAAAACTGCTAAATAAGTTTTAAAACAGCTGTAATTTGAATACATTCCTTTACATGTTGGTCTAGTGGACCATGGAAAATGTGTATTAATATGTGCGATGAAATCAAATAATCTAAGACATTATATTTTTCTCTTTCTATGTATATCTCATTTAATAAAAATGTACACCAGACAAACATATGAATCATAATTACTTAAATTATTATTTAAAAAAAAACAAATGAGGTATTTTACATTTTGATGCAATGACAAAAAAAAACTCAAGCTAAATTTATAATCCAGTTTAAATTTACAATGTGTTGAAGATCAAATAATATCCATGACTGATTCCAGATATCATTTTAAAGTGCAAATATTTTTAAGATTCATTTTGTTGATTTGTGAAAGATCTGTTATTCTGAAATCATACCGTTTAACATTTTTCATGTAACTTTTTAATTCAATTGATGAAAGAAAGCATTTAAAGAAAATCATACTAAATTACAAATAATTTTAGAACACATTATTGTTCCAAAGTCCTAAATTAAACAAATTCCAGAGTCCTTGAGAGAGGACTAAGTACACAAAAGGTTCTCAACATGCAATAACGGGAAGGATTATCTTCAGTCACGACTGATGAGAAAAATAATTGTTTCAGCTATTTCATAGTAATGCAACACTAATCAAATTCATATTTGAAAATAAATGTGCTTGTTACGTCATGTAAAAAATAGAATACTGCCATTCACTTTTCAAATGTTTTCCTTTAAAAGATACCAAACGGACCGTGTATCTTTTTAACAAGAAGTCTGCCGTTTTGAAAAAGACTGAAGCAATAAAATCTCAGCACTGTCTAGACTCTAGAGAGAAGCGCTGCTTGCGGACCATAGCTGGGGCTGGATTCCACTTATTATAAAGCTCCTGCAGAGCTCTGACATCCTCTAAGGCATTGTGCGCCATATAGGTCTTGTGGAGGAAAAGCTTGACCAGATACTGCTGGGAGTACTTATTGACTTTAGTGGCGGCTAAAAGTTCTTTGCTCAGGAGGAAAGTGTCCAGAAAACCAGCAACAACCTGTTGGAATTCATCCTTGAGGGAGAACTCATCAAGAGCCCTAGACAGCACAGGGCAATCGAATCTCTTGGCATTGTGGGCTACGAGCAGGGGCTGGTGGAAAGAGCGAAGAAAGTCAATGAAGGAGGATAAAGCCTCTCCGTGGGTCACTGTCTTCACAGGGCCCCCATGCAGAAGCAAGGCCTGGCCCTGGACAGTGAACCCAGTGATCCTGGAGGCCTCGTCTGTCATCCTACAGCGAGGAACCATGTGAAGATTGAAGGTCTCTTCTCCACTGATAGCAGACAGCTGGACGATGTCGCACGCAGCAACATCTGTGTAGAAGACAACCGGTACAGTTAATACATCAGCTCGTTTTCCTTCTTTTTCTTTGAAGGTGCAGCCTTTGTCCAGAGTTGTCTGCTATTCCTTCTCCGGCTGCTATGTGACTTATGTTATGTATCAAGGGCGCATATACAAGTTTCTTTTTCAGCACCTGACGCAAAAAGTAAATATTCAGAACAAGAGAGCAGAAAACATACGGCACTTCCTGACTACAGACATCTCAACTTCATTAACATTATGTAACACCCAGAAAATATTTGTCTTTTTCAGAAATACTTGTATAAGTGTCCAAACAATAAATCCACCAGTTCCTTAATTTAACCTTAATAGAAACCCCCTACCTATTCTCATGATTATCAACTTACATTCATAAGGCAACTTCCTAACGTGAGGCTCAGTGGGAAACAAAAGTACCACCACATAGGAATTTTTAAACATTTCACTGTGGTTTTGGAAATATTCACTTCCTGACTATAGACCGTACATGTCTGCTAATGAAAACATCATCTGCACTGCAACTTTCTTCAATTTCTTGGAAGACATAAATAGCCCATATTTATAATTTAGAGATATTAGATATTTAGACATCTTTTTTCATAAACATTAGTTCTAATGGCCCTCTCCAACAATCTGATGCTGTCTTTTTTAACATGCATGGAACAACAGCACGACTACCATGGACATGAAATGATTATACATTGCTTCCGAGTTAATATACAGGGCTTAAAAAAATTAGAAGCCATAGTTTATTTTTTCTTGAAAAGAACTAGACTGATGCAAAGTCTTCCCTTCTTGTAAATGAAAAAATAAAGGTTTATTCCATTCTTGTGATTTTTGTGAGCTCGCAGAAAAGACATTTCATTGCCAGCAACTACTGCTGCACGCTGTATTGTTGAGCATCTGATAAATAAACTTTGATTTGTTTTGAAAAAAGAAGAAAAGAAACACAACCTTTCGGCTGTGGAGCCTTCTTCGGGTGTATGGAACTCTTGCAAATGTCATGTATGTATTGTCATGTATTGTGAATTTAGACTCAAACCCTGTATGTATAAGAATGAAATGTAGAAAATGTTGATTGATATTCCAGTTAATACAACCATGTAATTCTAGCAATTAAAGACAGATTAATCAATACAGAATGTTAAAATTAGCGTAAATCCTTTGTTAAGAAATGCAGATGTTCCAGGACTATTTAAATAATTTAAAAACCATTTGTAATCCAGTAACAAATATAAATTAATCAGTAATTATTTATAGAATATTAAAAGGTACTTTGATTTGCAGCTATCTAGCACCCCAATGGCGTTAACACAATTTATGATGGAAGACAGAAGAATTACTGTACCCAGTCCTGTGGTCTCCAAATCGAAAAACACAAGGGTGTACTCAGACTGACTCTGGGTAGCGTTTCCCCTTGTGTTTGGTGCAGAGTTCTTTGAGGGGGGGGAAAAAGACAACGCATTTTAAGTTGCATTTAGCATTCCTAGCACTCTCCTAAAAAGAGCCCCAAAACATTCAAAAACAAAGCTTTGCACTTCACACGTTATTCCTAGTACTGGCCTCAAGTCTGGACAGGACAGCGCCATCAGCTCGCCCAAGCACCCTTCAGAGATATTGTGGGACTGTATTTCACCCAGCCAGCTCGTCCACCCCATTGCTGAATCCCATACCGGACCTAACTCCGCTCCACGATGACGTCCCATCTGCCGTGTTGTAAATACAGCTCAAGCTTTAAACGAAACATATAACTCTTCGCTTAGGATTTTTTAAAGTATCCTAAAGGGATGTTGAACTTTCATGGAGATTTTATATTCAATGACCCCTCTATTACAATTTCCATGTCGGTTTGAAAGTAGGAGCGAAGAAACACTGTCTTGACTCTATTATTTTGATTAGTTATTGAAGTCTAAAAGCAAAACAGACGTTTACTTACCATTGTATATTGTGCAGTCGTTATTAATACTTTATGTGGGTCAAAAACAGAATGGAAAAAAAAATCCTTTAAATGTGCGTAGATCTAAAAAAAAAAGTATTTTCTCGATCAGGTCCCAGGATAACAGGCGCTAAGTGCAGCTGGTGAGGTTTCTTCGCACTGTTTAAGTACAGCGCCGCTGTGCCTCCAGGGTTTCGTCTTAGGGAGGGACAGGTGAGTTTGTTTTGAAACGATACTGTGACTAAGACCGAGTTATAAAAGCTAGCCTAGGCTACTTCCGATTTCTGTGAAACCGATATCAGGTTGTAAACATTATAGGAAATCACGTGGAAACTCCATGGATACACCATTTTTAGCAAATAATCCCATAATCTAATACAAAAAAAGTAAACGCGTTAATTGCAGGTTCCATGAATACTACTGACTACAGTACGTGACGGCTTCTCACGCAAAGTGAACTGTATCCTACTGTTCCTCCCTGAGAATATGACATTTTGTCAGGATTTATGCACCTCCTGTATTGTATTGTGTTGTATTTCTGACTTCTACCTCTACCACGGTCTCACACTGATGTTTTCTTGCACATTGTTTGCGCTGCGTTTTATGTAAGTTGGGTGTATTGCTGAAGATAACAGTCATTCTGGTTTCTCACTTTTCTCTTTGGTAAAGGCGCGTACTTCCAGATTCAACGACTGCTTCTTCCATAAGAAGTCGTCATTGAATTCTACCTCAGTTGTCTGCTATTCCTTCTCCGGCTGCTACGTGACTTATGTTATGTATCAAGTGCGCATATACAAGTTTCTTTTTCAGCACCTGACGCAAAAAGTAAATATTCAGAACAAGAGAGCAGAAAACATACGGCACTTCCTGACTACAGACATCTCAATTTCGTTAACATTATGTAACACCCAGAAAATATTTGTCCGTCCAAACAATAAATCCACCAGTTCCTTAATTTAACCTTAATAGAAACCCCCTGCCTATTCCCATAATTATCAACTTACATTCATAAGGTAACTTCCTAAAGTGAGGAATGGCACAGTGTGAAACGAAAGTACCACCACACAGGAAGTTTTAAACGTTATTGTCTTATCCACGGTCTCACACTGATGTTTTCTTGCACATTGTTTGCGCTGCGTTTTATGTAAGTTGGGTGTATTGCTGAAGATAACAATCATTCTGGTTTCTCACTTTTTTTTAGGTCGGGTGTTATTTAACTTTGCTGTTGTTCCTGCTGCTGTTTATGTCGGTGTTTCCTCAACGTCTTTGTATTGGAGCATTTATGCAAATAGGCATTTCATTGCACTTGCGCCTATGACAGATAAATTGAAGTCTGAAATGGAGAATTGACGTTGTTTGCACAGGTTTTAATAGACGGACAACGTGCTCGCCCATGTCACGTTGTGTGCCCTCAGTCAGGAGACAAGATGTAGAAACGGCAGTAATCATGTATCGCACAGAGCTGCTCTAGAAAAGATCTGATCATATATGCACTGTATAAACAGTATAGTTTCTCTGGTAGGTCTGGTGCAGTGCGTGTGGAACCCTGGTCCGAACTACTTTATTTGCAAAACAAAACTGGTGCATATTGGCCACAGTAATAACACTGATCTCTAATCCGAACATATACTGAAACGCACATTCCCTTTCCAGTGTATTTGCCTTTTCCCAACAGCCGAAAGTTTCCATTGCCCTAAACCAATCCATTCAGGTTAGTGATATTTTATCCTTTTTTTTTC